ACGAATGCTTCGAAAAAAGTAGCTCTAAATCTCGAGAACTTTTCTCAAGAAGGATGTGTGCCCTTTATCTACGCTGAAACCTCAATCAGTGGAATTCAATAATTCGACATGTGACTAGAAGTTGTTCAGAATTGGACCCTTACAGCCACTTCCGATTACAGAAATCAGCTGACTCATCGTTGTGGTTACGTGGATATCAAATCAGATATATTTAACAAATTTTGTTTCAGTGTTGAAGGTGCGATTCCAGTTGCCCCTTGTGCATCTAAAAGTGAAAAGGAAACAGAAGTCAATAAATAAGACATAACAGACGAGATTATATTCAGATCTGCACTTTGATTACATCAGTCAGATTCAATATTAATGTGTGCGTGGCTGTGCTTTAAGCAAGCTTCCGGGAAGATCCTGTTTCATGACCTTACAATTACTTCTTTGAAGAGGACTACTAGATGCAGAAAGAACTTAGTCTATCTCAGAAATGTCCACTTTACCTTTCCTGCACCCGAAATGTCTTTATAGAATTCATGCATAAGTTTAGAAGCATATGCAAGTGAATTTATTAATGAACGAAAGACCTGGAGACTCTTGTCTGACAGGAGTATATAAAGTTCTTTATTATTCTTAATCTTAATAGTTAAGTATCTTTGTTGAATGTTTAATATATAAGAATTGTTGCCTACTAGAATTGTTACTTTCAGATCTTGCAACTTAATTTTTAGTGTCTTTGGTATAAGATTATAGAATATCACGTAATCAATTTTGCAAATAGATTATGTGAAAATTTTTGAAATATGATTATTAAAGTAAAGAAAAATGACAAGAAATTTTTTAATAATGTAAATTCTAAAAAAAAATTGAAGTTTTTTCAAAGGAATTGTTAAATCTGATCATCATACAACAAGATGATGGAACAGATGATGCACCAACTCGCTACACACTTGGAATCTAGGCACTCCAGAGTAAAAGTTGTAGCCAGGAGCGTCGGTTTCAGCTACAGGTTCAGTCTTTTTCGATTCTTCGGAGCTACATTCGTCTTTTGCATTTTTTTTCTTCGTGTGATTCACGTGACTGCCGAGCCTGCTTCAACTTTGGCCAAAGAATTAATATATATCACTACAATATCTATAAGTTATATTATATATATAGTACAATATAATCCATGTTAGAAGTAATTTTTACAATTGAAGTTAAGATTGAAAATTAATGGAAAAAAGCTCAAATTCTAAATTTCCAAAAATACTGATGACTTTCACACAGTCATCACATGATTTTCATTTCAAAAATCTTCCATTATGATTCAAAATTACAAGATGTTGATTAAGTTGAGTTTAAATAAGAATGAAGTGACGCGTATTGATGTGTTATTAAGAAAACTGAAAATTATTGAAAAAAAGTTTAAACTAAGAGAGAAACTTGAAATGATACAAATATTTCAATGCAATTTAAATCAAATGTAAAAACATCCTCATTTCAAGATTAATATAATGGTTAGATGTAACAGATAGATTCAGTTTTTTCATTCATGACTACGTGTTATGAAATAGATAATAAATGTAGATTCAAAAATATTTCTGAATTCAAGAAACACACAATTTTTTGAATGTGGGGTTTTTTATAAGGGAAATATTGATGCAAGATTTCTAATTCAAATTTTTTATTGTTATTGCAATTGAAATATGCATACCTTTCAGTAAAATTTATATTTATTTGAAAAATTTACAAGGTATATACATTTTTTGGAATATTATTTTCCTCATGAAAGAAATTTATGAGAAATAAGCAAAAATCAATAGATTTTTAATTTTTCAAATGTCTAATAATTTCAGTCTATGTGAATGTGATTGAGAGCAAAATGATGTATAATTGTTATGTGTAAATCATTGATTATCTGTGTCAATTTCAATTTTTAAACAGAAGGTTCAACTTAGAGTCTCAGATTTTTGCTCTTGTTGTTTACAGATATTTTGATCTGAATCATTTAGATCATGTAAGTGGAGCAAGAGATACGATTAATCAAAATAATATTGTGGAATATCCCTTAATATCTTTTGGATTTTTTTTTGTTTTGTTGTGTATTTACTTGTTAGTGTCTTTCCATCATTTTTCATATCCACGTGATATCTTTCACTTGAAGCTTTTTTATTTAGCACATATAGATGTTAGATATATAAATGTATCAGAGGGCTGATGTTAATAAAAATTTTAAAATATGGACTCTGTAAAGTTTGGACCATTCCAGCTGTGATTATTTGGTTAAAAATATTGCTTTCAAGTTAAATTTTTTTTGGAGTTTTTGTTGCATGTGTTTCACTTTCAAATAAGAACTAATTTTGAATCTGTTATTTAGAGGGTGGTGAACCTGATGTGATGAGCTCCACATCAACATCAAGCAATATCTAATTTGAGAAGGCGTCCAATGGTACAATCCGTCAGTCGAATTTGAAACAGACTGGAGATGTCCACGACAAAAAACCGAACGTTTAGGATTGCACTTGTACCGAAATATGTCGATGGACATAAGAGTAGAACGTAACGGATCCTAGACGTCAGCTTTTGATAAATACAGGGTTCAATATGGTAAAGAAATAACAAAGCTTAACTGCTTTAATACTTTAATTCCTTGGGCTTAATGGGGTCTTTTCGTCCTATGGTATCAATGCTATGGTGGACAACAAAAAAGAATGGACGACCCCACCATCGCTCTTGGGCACATGGTTAAGCTCCCAACAAAGCGTACTTGGAGCTCTTGACCCAGCCTGAGCTAATGATCCCACCCACTCCAACTGAGATATGGCGAATGAATACAAACACCGCAATATCGAAATTCGAGACGAACATACCATAATCGAAAATCAAAAGTGGAATGATTATTTCTAATGTTTTGGTGGGTTCTGAACATATTGGAACCTACTGGACTGCAACTTCATTGCTTAAGATCGCAAAATCCATTGACTGGCTGAGCCCCATGATGAAAGAGGTACGCCATTAGAGTAGCTATCAGCTATATATTACTCCGTGTCCCTTTTCCGTGAGTTTCATCAATGGCCTTTCTTTCAGTGATTCACTTCGATCTTCCTGAAGGTCGATCGAAATGATTTATACGATGATATGAGTCGAATTGGTGGGAGCCTGGCTGCAGATCTAGAAGTCAGAAGCGTCCCACCGACCGACTAATCCGTCGAGATCTGCAGACAGATCCCCGTGCAAAAGGCAAGTTCTGTCGATAATAATTCGATGCACAATCATCCTTTTCTGTAAATTCGCCCTGAAATGTTCGAGTCAGCCAGCTCGGCAAATTACCGGATTCCATGGAGTCCCGGCGGCCAATCGACCGCAAGCAAGCGCAGTGCACATGCGGCAGTTGACCGGCAGCCAAGAGGGAAAGCGAAAACCAAAACGAAAGCGAAAGGGAAAGGGATCTTTTCAGTTCGATCGTGAGCAACTCCCCTCTCTCTCTCTCTCTCTCACTTATCGTAAGGCTAATAATAACATTATTGGCGTAATAATATTATTTGCCCCAGAGTCCAGCGGCGATGTCCATGCACCCCAATTCTCAGGTCTTCACCTGCTCTCAACCATAGCCTCAGTAGCTGTGGGTTGTTGGGCAAGAACCGAAGTTAAATCGTTGACTGTAATGGCCCCCTGACCAAATATATCTGTCGATGCCATACGCACTCTCGTCAGATTAGCACCGAGATATAACGACTAATCGTTATATGGAATAGAGCATCATGGCATTTTTCGGTACCATCCGTACGACAGACCGATCTGGCTGTACAAATGATGTGCAGTACAGAACAGATACATCACCGACCGACCGGCCATCGAGTTCTTGAAGACCTACCATCGACAGGCTCAAGATTCAGAGTCAGTCTGCAATCTCAGGACGTGAATAATACGGGAAGCAATGCAATGCAATGCGACCTCGGATCGGACTGTGCGTTGGTCAGTATACGGTGTACGGTGTATGAGAGACCGTCGAGTACGGGGTAGAAAAGAGAAGAAGGCCGGCAATAAAGCGAAGGCCGTTCGTCGTTCGTATGTTGGGATGAGAAGCTCGAGTGGCAGTCCGTCATCATTCGATTGCGCTGACAGAGAATCTGATCGGCTGGGGCGATTTCGAGCTGATCCGGGCGACGGACGTGGTTAGAGCGAGGGCGTCGTACAATCATTTGCCCCCCCGAATACGCGATCATGTAGGCGATGGATTGTCCTTCAGTCAGACCTCCTGGACCGCTGGACTTTTCAGGCCCCGGCGGCATTATCCATCGGCTCGAACGCCAAGTTGTGTGTATATTAGCCCCTCGTGTAGGCCCCATCGTAAAGTAGGCTTTAGAAGGGCGACGAGCGAAAATGTAAGTAGTACAGCAAAAGGGGGTGGGGGTGGGGGTGAGTAATTAAAGGGACAGGGGGCCTGTCTGGCTGGCCGGCGGGCCAAAGGTCCTGGACCAAAGTGTCTTTTGAGTGAAAGCCCACCCGGAGCCGACGACGTCGTCGGGTCTCGACCGCAGTTCGAAAGCCGGCAACCATCTTTGCCAACTGTGTTATACTTCCAGTCGGCCTCACAGCCGTCGCCTTCATTCTTATTCCTTCCGGCTGACCGGGTCGCCCCGCGTCATCCTCGTCCATTCTCTCTATGCTCCCGCGAACACTATCGCGAACGCGAACGCGAACTCGAACGTGCTCCGTTTGCTGTACTTCGTGTCTCGCAGCGAGTTCGAAGAATTGGCCACAATCCCCAAAATCTCTCTCTCGCTCTTTCGTTTTCATTTAAATTTTGCGTGCCCACTAACCGGTTCGCTATTCGCTGTATTATTTTGGCTTCAGCATTTGTACAAGGGATTAATTAGCGCATGCTAATTAATGGATTGACTGGGCGCAAATCCGGTTTCTGGTACGGAGAACACGTTCACTGGATCAATGGCCAGCATGTTGAATAATCTGCATGAAGGAATGACTCCATGCTAATGATCACGAGATCTCGACGGCTCGACGCACTGTCAGGTTGGCGATCTGATACCATAGCCCGATACTTGCAATACATGGGAGACAATTGCAGTGCAATCTCCCAGATTGAGTATCGGCCGATGTCTCGTGCTCAGATCTGGAATGGTGTCATGCAAGGTTGGAACACGATAAGTCCCCGATCCCAGCAGCTCACGGGGCGCGCAGCTCCAATCAGTAGACAGGTCTCGAGAGAATCGACACAAAAGCAGTCGATGTGCTCGGGCCGACCGCGCCCACTGTTCTGGACAAATCCAGAAGGGCCGAAACCTTCCAGCGGAGTGAAATCCAGTAAATCTGGACCTCGAAGAGGCCGAAGAACTCGGCGCGAAGAGCGCAGTAAAATGGGAATCGAGAGAGTGTTTCGGATCAGAAGGCGAGGTCTCAGAATCGGCCGCGGCGACGTGGCGACAACGGGCCCTGGAGAGAGTGCACGGGGAGGGGGTAAATATAGGGGACATTGATTCCGCTGGCGATGGCGGATGGACGGTCGGAGCCCGGGAGCCAGTGGAGAGAACCTTCGGACAGGGCGGCGAGAAGAGCCGCGGGCCGTGGATGGGGTAATCGGACGGCGCGAAGGGGCAGGGAGGGGCAGAACCGCGGGCTGTAGCCGGTGGCGAGGATAAAGAGACGAGAGGGAGAGAAGGGGCAGAAGGGGGCGACCTCAAGATGGGCATCTGGGACGATACCCTAAAAGGGGGCGACACGTGGCCGCGGTCATGAATGCCCTAAGCACGGAGGGTGGAGACATCGGCACCGTCGCCCGCTCAGGCGACGGTGCAGATGGGCAGATCTGGGTCGTGGAAGAGATGAGGGTTGCAGATGCACAGGCTGCGAGATGGGCTCAGGCCGCGGGCCGACCGTCGATCGCGCGCCTCGCACGTTCTCGGTCGATGCCGCAGATATTATACACGGGAGCGATCGGCGCAGTCCCCCGTCGACCCGTCGACCCTTCTCGCCCTCTCACGTGTTCTTCTTCTTAGCACCATCATCATCTGAGCCCCCGCCGGACTCCCCGCCCAGCCCCAGTCCCTGCCCCTCCCCCAGATTCTCAAAAGAACGCAAGCGCGCTTGTCATCTCGGGGCCTGTCGTCGTCCTCGTCGTCCTCGTCGAGACCGCGGCAGCGTCCAAGTGTAGCAACCACCGATCGGACAGAAGGACAGGCACTCCGAGAGAGAGAGAGAGAGAGAGAGAGAGAGAGACTCGGCGCTCGAGCACGAGGAGCGCACGAGCGAGTGCCCAAGGCTGCGAGGCTCGAGGGCGAGGGCGGAGGAGATGAGGAGGCAGGCACGCGAGCAGGGAGCGCAGGAGCGAAGGAGGATTGTGGGGAGGGAGCGCAGCTGGAGCTGCTGGTGCTGGTGCTGGAACCGCGAAGGATAATTGTGCGGGGGATTGGAGCGGATTGGATACAGGGGAAATTGGAATCTGGGAGTCGAGTGGTCGAGACCTCGCTCTGTTCGGGTTCATGGTGGTGGTGTTGTTGGGGGAATTCGGGGTCTGAGTGCTCTTAGCTGCGGCAGGGCGGAGTTGCCAAGGTGGTGGTGGTGGTGGTGGTGGTGGGAGGAGGAGGAGGAGGAAAGGGTTCCAGTGGCAAAGAAGTGTGGATCAATTGCACAGTTTGGTGAGTGGAATTTGTTTCTGATACTCTGTTGCTCGTTGTGCTTTCGGAATCCACACGCGAGCGTTGGTGAGCATGATGTCGGGGTTTTGTGCACGGAAACAGAATTTGGTTTTGTGGAGGATGCGTGGATGCTTGATGTTCCTTCTAGATGCGTTTCTGGGATGGGAGAAATAGGCCAGTGCGGATCAATCTGAAGGGCATTGCATGTCGAGCTTCTGTGATGAATCAGAAAACGTTTCTCGCTGACTGCAAAGCTACACAGGGCAGTCCACCGAGAGAACCAATAATTTTTCGCTGTCGAATTGCTTGATTGCATTCTCCCTCCCGAAGCAATTTTGGACGGAGATCCACCCATCTTACAGTTTTTGTGGAGATCTCGAATGCCTGAGGACAGCAATCTTTCGAAGTGTGGAAGACAGAGGCATGGATAACTATGGGGGTGGAGATGATATGGCATTGGGGATTGTGTCCAGAGATCCAGCAGAACTCTTTGAATCCAATTGCTCTACCATCATAGTTAAGAGGGAGTACTGTAGCAAGGACGACGAGGATTTCGTAGACGTGAACGGTCCTTTTCTTTGCATCAAAAAAGAAAAGGATGACATCGATCATCCAATTCTGCTCACCAACGATGTCGATACTTCTCAAATCTTCGAAGTTAAACCTCTTGATCCGGAAATAGGTTCGGAGCAGCAAATTGGGAGCAATGGCGAATTGCTGGTCGTTTGGCAGGAGAGGGAACCCTCGGCCGAGAGAGGCAGCGAACGTTTATGGGTCAGGAAGGATCCACAATGTGAAGTGTGGTCGTGCAAAATGTCTGCCACTTACGGTCACTCCACAGGGCCCTCCCGCTGTTCTCAGCACAGGGAGGCTTGGATGGTCATGTTCGGTCACTGTGCAGTTGATGGCTGCACAAAATTTGGAGTGGTTGTTTCGTCCGAAGATGAACCTGTGAGATGCGAAGCTCATGCAGCAACAACAGAGGAAACGGTTTTAAGACCGAAACAAACATCCAGGCCTTTGGAACATCTTGCAGGCTTGAGTAGAGTTGGTCCATCGGGTCTTGGTTTAGGGTTAGGGTTAGGAGATGATAGCAGGGCGCACGAAGTTTCATCTGCAAGATCCCAGGTTTTAGATTCTGGCCCTGTTATAGGAGAAAGCTCTGCAAATGCTCAAGATGGTCAAGTAGTTGCCGAGATTGGAAGTGTTCCACCTTCTGGCAATCATCCCAGTCCACCTGAGCTGAATGGAACTCCTCACTTGTCAGTGGAGGCCGAAATCAACAGGTTGAAGGAGGTGAGACTCCCACTTTAAGCGACGAAACAGAGTATACTTTTTTGAGAAGTAGAGAATGGAGTGCTCGAACTGCAAATGTCATTGTTGTCTCCTGCATTCATGGAAATTACAGCTCGGCTCAAAAGAACAGATGATGTTTTCAGGAACATGAAGGACTTAGGCAGAGGATGGTCCAGATAGAGATCGAATTGGCTCGTCTCGAGGGAAGTCGAAATCGGGAGTCTCAGGTAATGCTTCTAGACAACTATCATGCTCAACCTGAACGGATTTGCATGGGGTTTGCCATCCAACTTGGAAACAGTTCTGACAAACTAGTGCACCGAGGCTTCCTGAATAATCGATTTTGTCCGAAGAGATGTGTTGACAGAGCAAGATGAGTCCGTTTATTTACTTGTCAGTTCATTCTCAGATGTTTTCGACTGATTGCTGTTCTGTGTTATAGACCATTTGTGATTCAGTAACGTTTTAGATGTCATTATTTGTTTTCCTGGATCGCTTGACGTTAGTTGTTGTTGCCCTAGTGGGGCCTCAGATTACACTAGGATCTATCGTACTCATCTTGACGATAAAATCGGACGCTTATTTTCTCAGGAAAGTGCAGTTTCTTTTTCATGTGTGTATTCTCTCAATATTTTGACTATAATGGTCTCGAGCTTACCTTTCTTGTAGGCACAGGAAGCACCAGCGAAGAGAGCAGTGCAACAGCGACCTCGTCAGTTAGCAACATGTCAAGAAACCCCTACGTCGAAAGTCTCAGCAAATATGAATGATGGAAAAAATGGGTCGAGTCCAAGTAATGCTCCGGGGAAGGTATCGTTGGATGGTTATAACTGGCGCAAGTACGGAGAGATGACTGTCCCGGGCCATACTCTACCCCGTGTCTTTTATGGCTGCACGAATATTGGATGCATCGCACGTAAAATTGAAGAACGCACTGACGAGGGCAACGTAAGACATTTCTATGAAGGGGTGCATAATCATCCTCAACCAGGGAAAAGCTTCCCTCGCCCTGTTTCGATTCCTCACTGGAAAAGGAGAAAGAGACATCACACGGTTTGTACAGATTAATATCCTTGTGGTTGAGGATGGAAGCTTAACTCCAGGTTTTAAACTTTCGGGTTTAATCAACTCATTGTGTGCCTGGTCCACAGTTGTGGAGGTGCTTGACGACGGTCATTACAAAACGAATATGTGTAAGTAAATTTGCCGTCCGGCTCGTCTCTTCCCTGTAGTGCGCATTCTGCGTGTATTAACGAACGCGATAAATTTCAAGAGATCTCCTGTAAACGATGAATGCATTCTCAAATTTTTTCTGTACCCAGTTTTGAATTTCTGTTTGTTAAATTTGACAGGTTTTCGTAATATCTGTGTGGAGAGAAATCATAACCTTCAGGTTCATACTCGTCCATCCATGGCAATTTACCACAATTTTGACCAATCCGTCCAGCAAGTTCGTAAAGTTCTCGCTTCCACGAAGTGGAGATTCAAGAATGTGAACTCTCGGTCGCCAGGATCTTCTGGTTTAAGGAGGGACTGGAGGTGACTCTGAGACAGTGCACCTCTGGCTTTGCACATCGGAACTGCTGGAAACTTACGGAAGTAGTTTTAAACTGATGATTCGGGACTTGCTGTACAGTCGATCATTCTTTGTATCATTCACAATATTATAATCGTAATCGTACTTACTCTGGGCAAGTTGCGATTCAAAAGTTGTCTGATTATGGTTGAGTACTGTCGTTTCTTATATGCAGCGATTGTCTCTATCCATCGTTTCTATGGGTGCTATCGCTATGAAGGTGCGTTCTAACCAAAGAGACCGGAGGTCCTCTGCTCGTTGTTTCTTGATGGTGGTCATGTGACGCTAGAGATTCTTTTTTAAGGTTTTCCTCACAGCAGGATGTTACCTCTAGACATTCAGGACACCATAACGTAGGTAAATGTTTTTTGAACTGGAATCGGTACCTTTCCCGCTAATTGCTGACAAGATATCTCTCATATAAGCTGGATGGCTTAAGAGCTGATTACATAACGGTATCGGTTTTCGTTTGTACTACCGTTTGTCAATTCTTGCATTCTTGTTCCACTGTAATCAGACTGAGGAATAGCGGAATATAAGTGCTCCTTCCTTATGGTCGCAGATGAAGCATCGAAATGTACCTACGTTTAGAGTATTGGAAACGAAGTGGAAGAAACAGATTCCTTCGAGGGAGGTCCGAGAATCTGTGAAGGCAGACATGGTTAAAATTGAAGCATACTCAGGGGAATAGTATAGACAGGACTCAAGGATCTACTGGCTGATATGGAGCCACAGTGATGTAAATACTGCATATTGGGGGATATGGTGCAGAAGGAGAACCTGGGTATACGTTTGCAGCAGTCAGGAGGAATGAAAGCAGTGAACTGGCACCAGAATGCGGGATTACCATGTAAGCACATCTAACATTTACGTGGTAATTACATTGGACGAAGCTGGATTACTGTCTGTTCGTTCCAGTCCGAAGTTTCTTTGTATGAGCCTAGTGGCAGTGGTTCAAAACTATGGCGAATAAACAAATGTAGGGAGTATTCAGAGGCTTTGATGCCAGTGAAGGGCGACCGATCGTCTTTGCGGGAGTTGGCAGATTTTTGCAAATCTGTTGCCAAAGTGAGTACTTGTAATCTTCCCACCAGCTGTACTGGAAATCCCAAATTTGAAATGAATATTGTTTTCGAATACAACTTGGTTTTTATAACTGTTGCGTATAAATATGTTTATCTTTTTGGTCAACCTTTTTATTCCCGTTGTTTGAATCCATATGTGTGTCATCCTGAAGTACTTTTCCGAGAATTTCAACGTGCACTGAAGATGATTGATTATTTTGAGGACACGGCAAGAACCGGTAACTTTGAAGTGGATGTGTGATGTTTCTTAATCGCGAGCGGGACCCAATATAAGAATGCATACTATCGAAGCAGTGATGACACACAATTAAGCCAGCTGCGAGAAGCAGGACCGATTCCGGAGTGAACTGCAGTCATCAAAAGCATTATCTTGACTGCTTCCTGGAGATTTGGTGTAGTACTTTGGAAACTCTCCGGGTATGCTATATTCCACTTTTTTGGTTCCTGCCAGCGAACAAGTTACGATTCCGAACCAAGGGATTCATCTTGGCGTGCATACGAATGCAGATCGTGCCAAGACATTTACCAAGATTCGCGTTTTCATCGAAGTCTTAGGCTCGATTCCTAATTCGTCTGAACTGTACTTCAGTTCACATCGTGGAGTCACAGTCTATCGCTTGGATCATCCAATTTCTCGCGTACACAACAAGTGTAAGTTGATATTCGAGGCGTACTGCCTAGACACTCATGTAATGTATGGAGTACTTGCTTGGATGTCGGCGATCAAACAGGAGCAGTGGTTCACATAACTGCCCACCAGGATACGAAGTCTATCGATCCACGTAGAAGAAGCAACCACGAACACTACAGGGCAGTCACAAAGCAGAACACAAAGGACGAGAACTACTCCGCCTGATCGATTGCACATACGGAGAAGCTGCCTGTCATTCCTGCTCCACGTTGAGTTTCCTGCCTGTCTACTGAAGGACGCTGTTGGTGGGTGCCCACGAGTTCGAAAAAGTCACGAGTAAGTGCAATTGAGAGAGTCCTCGAGAAACAGGGTTGAAATTTGGGCCCTGTTTATTGCCAAGTCGGTTGACTCCCTGTCTCTCCGATCCACAACTTGAGTCCATTTCACCGACCTCTGCCTCTGCAGCTGTGTTAGCTAGCACGCTCGCTGTCCATCATCGGCCTCGACCTCGTCTGATCACGAAGCGCCATGAATCTTCACGTTTGTTTCAACCGTTTCAACTTCAGATCCAACGTCGAGGACCTCATTCACGTCGTCTATCATATCATCTCACCATTTTCAACGAGCACCAGAGTCATCATCTTACTACCGACTTCTGAGACTCGTGGAATATTCGGGCTATGACAGTTATCGAAAGATGTCCTTTCCAGCGCAATTAAACTGAAGAGAAAACCCCCGAACAGAATACAAGGCTCTGTATACAGTGCTTTCACCGTCAACATGAACAGAGCGGAATTCTCGGTCTTCGCATTGACCGAGTAATTTCCTGCCCTTTATAAATAGCACTTCGATGCAATATTGGTATCGAATCTAGTCCCTGTGAGTTCAGGTCGGAATTATGCATAGATTTGCATAATTGGTAAAATCTATATAAAGCTGCATACTTTGGAAACAGACAACAATGTCATCCTTCTTCTGTCAATCCTCCTTTTCCGCACTTTTAATGACCATTAGAGTAATAATTAAATTAGGCGTATCTCAGAAATAAGACCCTCTAAAATTTACATGTTCATTACGGGTCAATCAAAACGATGAAAACCATCTCAATGTGACGGAGGAATGGGAAGAGGTTTCGGAATCTAATCGAAGATTTTACTCACTGCCGAAATCATAAATTTCTATGTGCCATAATTTAAAAAATGTGCAATACTTTGCCCGAAAGCTAACCCAATTTATCAAGCGGTGTTTTTTTTTTAAAATCATGGACCATTTCTCGATTTGTGAGTGTCATCCTTGGACATGCTAATCTTCTCTGTATCGTTCCAATTTAATACAATTTTAAAATAGAAGGAGAAAAATTATTACAAGGAACCGAGAACTCTAAAATTTGACTACAGGACTGAAGAAAAATAGTGTAACAGCGTCATTAGAAAAACTGGCAACGGTGATTGGAAAGGCTCGAAAGTGCGAAGGTGCTTGGAAGGAGACGACATGGCGCCTAGCCCCACGTTAGGTGCTCGGGTGCATCCAGGTACGACTCGATAGGCCTGGATGCCATTCTCTGGGTGACTTTACTTTACTTCCTGGAAGCTGGGGCAGCGAGAGCAATAAAAGAAAAAGCTCGATAACAGAAAGTGGACGATTGCTGGAAACTGTGCAATCGAAGGGAAGAGAAGAGAAGGAAGTGAAGGAAGGAAGCATGGGGAGATTGTCAAGTCCACCCTCCAGTCTCTCTACAGTTGACTTTCGCCCATGATTTGTTTGGCTTGCGTGGCCCGTACTGGACAAAGCGCTGGCCCATCGAGCCTAGTCTACGGCGGTACGGAGCGACCGGAGCCTGTGGCAGTGAACTGAACTGAAGTGAACTGAATTGAACTGAAGAGAAGCGAGGGGCAATCACTCACTAACTCACTCAACCAACCAACCAACGACTGCACCAAGTCTCGGACGAGCACCAGCTCAGCTCAGATCAGACAGAGACTTGGATGAGCTGAGCTGCGCTGCTGCTGCTGCTGCTGTGCGCCGGAGCCCCGAGGCCTCGAACTAACGACTCCAACTTGGCGGAAATGGTGTCAGGGGCTAAAGACATGTGACTGGGTCGGAACTGGACCGGAGCTCTCAGCCTTGGCGCTGACGCCAAGGCACGCAGTCACACGGAGGAAGGGACGGAGGAAGGCACGGACGGACGGACGGACGGACGGACGGAACGGGGAGAGGTGCTTCTGGGCAAGCGCAAGCGCAAGCACGACCGGGGGGCGTGGGCGGGCGGTCGGGAGAGGTGCAGGTCAGCTGGTCCGCTAGGCAAGCGGTCGTGGAAGGAGATGAGAGACGGGATCGGAAGACCGCTGGAGGAGACCGTGGGATCACGTTGGCGGGGGTGTTGGTGAGAGACCTGGAGGGAAGGAAGGGGGCTACGAGACGGGGGGGCTGGGGCTGGGGGTGGGGCTGGGGCTGGGGCAATGAATGAATGAGACGAGGAGCGCAGGAGCGCAGGAGGTTCGAGGCGAGGGTGGAGAAATCGGCGGAGCTCGAGCTGCACGATCGCTTGCCACTCGGCGAGAACGACAAGCGCGGGCAGGCGGCAGCTGCAGCTGCTGGATTCTCTGGCAATCAATCCATCGCAGCGCGCTGCCACTGTGGTGGAATGGGCTTGGGCTTGGGCCTACTGGAGCCGCTCGCCTCGCCACCCGCGCTTGTGACTAGCCCCGAAATTGCCCCACCCGCGCACTTATCCCCAGCCCCTTCCTTCGCTCCTCCTTCGCCGTGGGCGCGTGTTGTGTCGGACGAGCTTCTGGTCGTCCTCATGAGTAGCAGCAGCAGTCGTCGTCGATCCCGAGTCTCCAAATCCAAGATCACCAGAAAAGGTGCAGCAGCAACAGCAACAGCAGCAGCAGGAAGAAGGAGGAGGAGGAAGAGGAAGTGAGTTGAGTTTAGTTGAGTTGAGTTGATCCCTGGCTGTCTGGTGAAGCGAGGTGGATCGATGGTCAGGTGCTATTGATTGATTGCTTGCTTGCTGGCCGCGAGGTGAGGAGCGAGGGGTTGGCAGGCAGGCAGGCAGGCAGGGGGTAGGGATGGAGAGACAGAATGTCTTCAAGATGCCGCATAGTGAATCTATTCTTGTGATGCTTCTCTTGATCTCGTGAATGCGCCTGGACTGAGACGCAGGCAGGCAGGCAGCGAGGCGGGTGCACCTACAGAGCAGGAGAGAGTGTGAGATTTGTGAGATTTGTGAGATTGTGAGATTGTATGTGAGAGAGAGAGAGATTCAAGAGGACGGAGGAGGAGGAGGAGGCTGTTGTGTGATTGAATCGGGGCGGAAGGTGGTGAGAATCACTGCATCGGAGCGAGTGGAGGGAGGGAGGGAGTGGGATGGTCAGGGCGGTGCGCGGGTGGTCGGGGCGAGGGGCTCTGTAGGAAAGGCAGGAAGGAAGCAGGTCGATGAATTGTGCCGGCGAGCAGGAGCAGGAGCAGGAGCAGGACGAGGAAGAGGGGCTGGAATTGGCACCGGAATTCGACATCGAGGCGCAGGAGGATTGCTGCCAGATGGGGTGAAGGACTCAGCGGTCGATCGATCGATCGATCCTCTCGAGCGACAGCGGGAAGTTTCTGAGATGTAGACTTCTGTCGTGCGTTCGGAGGCCATCCGAGTCCATCCATTTCTCTGCATTTGCTCGCTCTCGATTCGCTCGGATTCGATCCGCTCCGCTCCGCCTCGCCTCGCTTCGCTTCCCTTCCGTGCGCGCGTGCCTGGTGACGTCTGGCTCATAATTCTTGCAATCTCCGTGATCCTCATCGGGGCAATCGGTGGGGGCAGGGGCGAGGGCGAGGGCGAGGCGCCATGGATCAGGACTACGCGACGGACGATGGCAGCATGGAGACGGAACTGCTGCAGCCGGCCAGGCACCGGCTGAAATTCCCGGGCGCGGTGAAGAAGACGGCCTACAGCTTCGATGGGCACGGCAAATTCAGCAGCAAGGACTGGGATCTGAAGGCGCGAGAGAGCGAGGGCTTCGCGTGGTACCACGTCGAGCTGCCGCGCTCGAACCAGCGCCTGACGCTGGCCGCGCAGTACCTGATCGACATTCTGTGCCCGCCGCTGAAGCTGCAGGAGATTCTGGCGCTGGTGAGCAACGGGCCCTACTGCGGCTCCATCGATGGCGCGCTCGTCTTCCGCGTCAACTCGGCCGGCCCGACCACGAGCCAGTTCACGCACAAGATCGCCGCGCTCGTAACGGACGACCGCGTGATCAGCGTCTCGCTCGGGCGCATCCCGCGCCTCGAGTTCTCGGCCGTGACGGCCGAGTCGCTGCTGCACGAGGTGCCGCGCCTCGAGTCCGACCTCGACTCGCTGCTGCCGCAGCAGCAGCCCACGAGCATCACCACGAACTCGCGCGGCATCACCATCCAGGAGCATGTCCTCGACTTCCTGCTCACCATGAACCACCCCGAGCACGCCGACAACCCCATCCCCAAATGCGTCTCCAATCTGCTCGTGCACATCATCGACACGCACGTCGACCAGCTGCAGGACATCGTCATCAAGCTCGAGATGGATCTCGACAACGTCGAGCGCGAACTCGACACCGGTACGTGCCCCACCCCACCCCCTTGCCCCCTTCGCATTTGTCCCCGATCGCCTCCGAATGCTTTCTTGGCATCGATCGAGTCCTCTGCCTCTCGCACTGCGTGAATTCCACAACTATTTTTCGACGTTCGAATGAATCCGATTCAGCGCCAACTTGCGCTCGTGTTCAATTTCTCTTGGTGGAGAATTCGACTCCTTCATCTCGATCTGTATCTTGGCATGATCCTAGCTTTGCGGTCGTGAGGAGAACCGAGATTACTGGGGTTCTTCACGGGAGTGAATCTCAGACGTTTAGATTGTTTCTGGGGTTTCTGCCCTTGCGTTTTCTGGGCTCTGTGGTTTGCTCCTTCCGCTTCGGTTCTCTTGCCGGGCACGTGATCGGTCTTTCGATGCACTACTGGAAGATTTTCAAGTGGTGGTCGAGCTGGAAAGCCCGGAATCGAGTCTGTGCTGAGAATCGGGCGTGATGGACCTTGAATGGGTTTTGTAGGTGGTTACGTCGTGAAGAAGGAGATGTTGGACGATAGACGGTTTCCCAAGATGCATCTGGATTTGCAAAGACTGCTGCAGGTGATCGCTCATGGAGAGCAAGTGTTTCCGAGAATGAAGGATAAATGTGCGGGCAAGAAATGGTGCACTCCGGAAGATATTGTCGAGCTGGATGTACTGGTGGGCCGACTGCATAAACTGAAGGAGAATGTGGGCTTCATCGCCAGCCGGATCACTGCCATTCAAGCTGGTCTGGACAGCTGGCAAGCCGAGCAGATCAATCGCAAGCTTTACTACTTATCATTTTTGTCCATGATTTTCTTACCCTTGTCGATCGTCACTGGAGGTATGCCCCTTCTTCCAAATGTGTCCACTTGGTTTGTTCCAAATGTGTCCTTAGATTTCTCCTCTGGCCACTGGCTCCGACACTTAACTTGTCTTTCTACTGAGGTGTTTCGTTTGTCGGTTCTCTTCTTCTCCTTCTTCTGCTGCTGCTGCTGCCTCATCGGTTCTTCCAAATTTGTCCACTAGATTTCTCCTCTGGCTACTGGCTCCGACATTTAACTTGTCTTTCTCTTGAGGTGTTCCGTTTGTCGGTTCTCTTCTTCTACTGCTGCCCCATCGGTTCTAATCCGGTCTCCACTGTCTGCAGCATTTGGCATGAACGTAGGAGGTGTTCCATGGACGAAGCAAAACGACCGAACTCTGGCGCATGGATTTCGCAATGTTATGTTCATTTGTGCAATCATCGTGGTGATGCTGCTGGCATGCTTTGGAGCAAGTCCTCTGTATTCGTACCTGTCCACTCGCAGGAAGAATCAAGCGGCGAAGAAAAAGTGGCTCGGTAGTAAGAAGTCCATTCGCATCAGAAATGGACAGCGAGGTTCATACCTGCCACTCAACAACCGCACTAGTTCCATGTCAATGTAAAGATTCGTTATCTGTGCACTTAGGCACAGAACCTGTAGTAAAAATTCACACGTAGCCCATCACATTCAAAGGGCTGGAACCGGACATCTGTACAGAGATCCAGTTCTGTTTTTTCTTGCAGGTTGCAATCCAATCCGATCAGAGTTCCATTTCGACGGTTTGCATCGCCGCATATCGAGCATGACTGCAGCTCTTTGGGCCCTCCCTCTTGGTTCATCCACTTGTACACTAGATAATTTTTTGATAAGGCCCATCCATCATTGTTAAATGCAGAATCTGCACCCGGCGGCAGCTGCAATACTTGCTTCTGCCTCGCAGGGCAGTGCAGATGCTGCCACATTAAAAAGTCTGAGATGTAACGCAATCCACAGTAAATATGTTCGTACTTTCAGACATATTCCTTCTCCGCGCAATGTTGTCTTGTGTTCCCTTCCGGTTGGATAGTGAATGATGGCAATGCTTTGTGGTGACTTGAAGTCTCCTTGCAAGTAAATGTGCACAAATGGCCCCGTATTTTGACCAAAATCCAGACACGGAGCTCTTCTGAGAAGTTGGCAGCCCATTCCTCCACTCGGGAATGGGACAGAAATTAGTTCTCAACTTCGACTTGCTAAGTGAGAGCAGAACTGTCACCGGTCACAGCCCTTTCACCGTCAGAGTCTCTGGAAAGTGCAAAAGTACGCACCCTTGCATTTTTCAGAGATAGTCCATGGATGGTAAATGGTTACCAAATACCTGTTGATACTTGCTAAGTGAATTAATAAACATATACTTGCTAAAGTGCTGTGGCATTGTCGTACAAGTACATTATACTTTCCATTATGTCGAAGATTGCCCAATGTGGGTCACAGTTGAATCGTGTGCTCTCAATGTTCCCAGAAATGTAATGTACAGGCAAGGCTCCTGACTTGTGTACATAAGTATTGAAAGTAGACATTCACACTAAAAAACAAATCTGTTACTGACTCGCCCGCTCTGCGTGATGGGGCCAGTAATCGGTGTAGTGTCGAAAGGAAAGAAGAATCTAAAGAGGAGCAGCTTAATCCCTGCTTATTCTTTTCTCTTATCCCAGTGCATAAAAGCACAAGGAGGAGAATTCTGAATCTGCAAGATCACCGCCTCTGCACTCAGAGAGGATCCTTCACAGCGAATTTGTCGCCAAAAATATTTGGCAAGCACTGTCGTTCTCATTTACGACTTCCCAGGTCCGGCAAGAACGAAGTCCCGGGTCAACTCTTGAAATTTCCAACTTGTCAGCTGCGCTCATGAATCAATCAGACGTTATCGGCTTGTCCTCGCATCGTCTGTAACACTATCATCTATTCGCATGGATCCGATGCAGAAGCCTGTGAAGAAGGGAGCCTGAAAGCATTGAGATGTAAAAAATACACAAAATCAGGTTCTGCGTTGTCTGGTCAAGCTTAGCATGCAGTAGGCATTTCCAACCATGAATGAGGTGAGTTGCGAGGCAGTAGGAAACCTTCTTGTCACATTTGTTAAGATGCCCGTGAAGGCTGTATACAATCAAAAATACAGCTCGCAATCACTTCGCCACGTAGCGATATCCATACAGTACCAACTCTTACCTCAGGAACACCTCGTTTGAAGTGGAACACAAGAGGCCCTCTTTTGCCATGGCGTAAGGCCGCACTTTGTAATTTTGAGCAATCTGTGCACTGTGGATACAGCCTTTGATGCACCACTTTGGGAGAGAAAGGTAAAAATGGTATAGTCGATCGTAACCTCGCCAAAAAGGAATTAGCTTCACCACTAGCTACAACCGCTTTTGCCCACCCTCTTCCATGAGCTATCACGTTTGGAGGCATGTGATCAGCGATGCTGTCGAACAATGCAAACAATAGAAGACACGATGAGTGCTCCTGGCGAACGACATTCGTTACACTACAGGAGACAAAAGTAGAATAATGTGGACAGACTCGTGCGACCTTTAACGTGCGATGGACAGTACCTCTCTCCAGCCCTTTTTCCACAATGATGACAACCATGACGTTTGAACATGTCTTGAATGAGAACCTGTTCTATGTCATTGGCGTACTTAGATCCTCGAGCTGGCACAACAACAGACAACAAATGAATACGGAGAAACTAGGAGAGAGGAAGTTAAATCAGCTGCATTCTCTATCTACGACTGAGCTAACTGAAGCCTTCTAGTCAACGGACCAAATAGTCTGCACTCGTTGAGCTACTTCAGAGAAGAAGACGTACCAGGAATTGAAACAGAATGGAGCGCTCCAGGATGATTTACATTGCTTGGCATCAATCTATGAAAGCTACCTCCCAGTACCTGATTTCAAACATCAATCGGAAATTCTGGTAATCTGGCAATTAATCCGAACTAACTGAGCTCGTATTTTATGCTGCCCCTGTGAATTCATTTCGACTCAATTTAGCTCAAAGCTTTCCAGGTCTTCATTAGTCAGGCAGCATAAGAATGATTCGTAAGACCAACTACAGGCGGTACGGTAACTCCATTATGTATGAACACGGCTTGTTGTTAAATCAGTAAATAAAGAAAAGACCCGATCACACAGAGTGGAAGATCGATGGAAATCCAAAAATTCATCAAACTGAAACTGTAAAGATGAGAAAATGATTATGGGAACCCGCAGTTGAATGCAGTGAACAAGGTAAAAAACTGATGAGATAAACAGCGAGTGGAAGGCTAAGATAAATGGAAGGGAACGTAGAACTGAACATCATAACTTGCAATGGATAGATTAATCGCGTTAACACGATTAGAAGTAAGTTACCAAGAACCTATATTGCGAACTGAATCCTCTGATTATGGGAACAGTAGCCTAAGAACCTTGATAAACAGCGAAGTGGCGAGCATCAAGGCGCTGCCAATGAATACTTCTCTCTCTGCTCCACGGCAAACAATTTGAACAATCTCAATCCAGGAACAGTTGAGATGACGAGTTGAAGCTGGAAAATAAGGTTTCATTCGAACAGCTTACCTTGAAAGCCACTATACCAAATAATGCATTGACCAGAAGAGTGTCCTTTGCGAGGTATTCATTGCCCCCGTTCATTTTTCCCTGGCCATAAAATCTGCGTAGACTATGGGAAACCTGTACAGCAAGTGAATCCATAATTGAGTCTAGAATTCCCATTCCAGTCGAAGACTCCAGATTTCTTATCCAGATGTCATGAAATTGAAATTTCCCCCTGTAAAAAGTACAAAGTGCATTCTGACCAAGTAATCCAAGGGGACCTGCAGAAGCTACGACTGGCAAAAGGCTGAACCATCCACAAGACAAGCTCGAAATTACGAAGGTAGGCCCAGAAACGAAAAAGTTGGCAGAGGAAGACGGGACAGGCAATGTAGACAAGGACTCCGAGTTTGATGACACATGGAAAAGAGCACTTCAATATTCGAGTATCATGAAATAAAGTAAAACTTGTTTACTCATCGCGAAACTCGAGAACGAGAGGGAGACCTGAGCAGCTGCTGCAGATGCCGTGCCCAAGGCCATAAAGCCAACGACCGAAGCCATGACCGGTGTTGCACAAGATACTCTCAAACCTGCCCCTGCTACCTTCCCTAACATTCACCACAAAAAACTGTCAGGACCAAAACCTCTCGATGTTAAGATACTTCTGACCGATTCAGAACTTTGTATGGGACGACAACGAGGCAAAACGACGTGAGACTGGTACAAGAGCGACTGCACTCCATAAGACGAAAGACTCTCACCGGGACAACACACGCATCACATGTGCCAACTGAATGATACTCAAATCCAGCGAGTCAATAAAAGAAAAACATTCACCGACGCAAACAGAAGAATGGGAATGACGACGACGAGATCAAGGTAAGGGACTAAACAAAGTGGCTAGTTTCATTCGGAAACTGAAGCAAGGTGAGAAACAAATACTTCTAGCCCATGATGATCCGAATTACCTGGGCTCCCAGCAATGTCGCACCGAATGTGAAAGCGGCGCCTGCTGGCGGGACAACGCAAATCACGAGACGATTGGCGAAGATTTGCTGTTGATCCTTGGACCCGAACATTCGTCTCGCCGCGTCCAGTGGCGCGGAACGAGAGACCTCGTTCGTGAGCATGTCAACAGACGGACCCAATTTCTCCTTCATTTCCGACAGAAAACCGGATCCGAATAGGGATCCCATCGGAACGACTTGCTGCTTCTCAGCAGCATGGCCTTTCTCCTGGCGATGGCCATCGTCCTGCATTCAACACCAAATCCCAATCCATCCGATCAAACCATTCATTCATTCACAAATCACCCACTTCGCAGCAATTTCAGCCTCCAGCAATTTCACCATTCCCTCGTCGGCAATTGCACGACGATCGATCGATCACACGGAACGAACCTGGGAATCTTCTCGAGCGGGCATCTCTCTCTTCGCTCGACGGACAGCTGCCCCTGCCCCTGCCCGCGCCCTTCGTGACTTGGATTCTGTTCGTTGGAATGCGCCGGTCACCCGCCTTATACTCGACCGTCGACTTCCACGAGAAGCCCATGCTTTCCAACTGACAGAACTCTACCAAGTTCCTGAATGTCTTTACCGCATGAGTTCGAACTCGTTAGTATGGTTCACACCTCAGTACAGTCTGCCGAATTATCCTTGATAACTGCAAGTCTGGGTCAAGAATTCACGCGTTTAATACGAACGGCATATCTTTTATAATTGCAGCTTTTCCTCTTCTCTCGAGGTCTCTAACATATAACTTTCTACTACTAGCGTGTAATATTCAAGATACATGCATCTAGCAGAGCTTGTTGAATCCCATCATAAACTTAGATGTAAGTTATCTTTTTTTGACACATAATTAGCATCATAAAGTGGCTACAGTGGATAAATTTTGTGAGTGCAATGACAAGATTTTCGTGGAACAAGTCGTATCATTAAATGATTGCAATGCTTCTTTATGATGAATATTTGTAATTTCTCATTCTCTGTTTCTCATTCTATTTTTGTTTAAATGTGATAAATTGTAACTATTGCTAACTTTGTTTCGAACAAAGCTAGCGGACAGTGGGTTTCAATCTATAACCTTCACATTGTATCCGTGCGAACTCAACCAATTTAAGGTACTTGCTTTTACGTATATGAAGAATGAAGATGCTTGCATCCTCATGCTTTTCATGTGTTGTGTTAGAATTCTGGATAAGATCATCATTGCTTCATACGATGTGAAAAGTTAAGAAAATTTTATTCTCACCTTGACTTGTGGATCGATTAACATTATATTTTTGTTACTTCAGTAGTTATTTCTGGAATTTCTCAAAAATAATTGCTCATGTAAAAGATTCAAAACTTTAAGCAAAATGCGCCAACATTATGGATCTTTCACCATTTTCATAAGATGTTTATGTTAACTCGGTATTCATTTCTGCATCGTCATTGTGAAACATTGATGACAATTATAGAGCATTGAGAAATCAGATATAATTTCAACAAATTTTTCACCAATAAACTCAAGCGATTTTTCCATGAATGTAAATTGTAACAATTAGAAAGTATGCACTTGTCTACTGTCTATATATTGATATTTTAGCTATGCCATCATATATTTGGATATAAATTTTTTAAGTAAAGTTTTCATTTCAGCTAGTCAGATTGGAAAAAAATTGGTTTTTGAACTGATTTTTTTTTAAGAATTGATTTATATGGAAAATTTGTATACTACTTTCTTTGCAGAATCCATCCATTAGCATCGATTTTTTCTCAATAATGTTTTTATTTGAATTTCAGCACTAAAACGTAATGTAGAAACACATAGATAATGATATCAAATTTCAGATCAAAATTCTGATAAGATAATCATCGAAATTTATTTTAAAAAATCCTACGTATTTTAAACATATTCTGGATCAAAACTTGTGAAACAAACTAAAATGTTTTGAAAATTCAGTGTTACATGTCCCACGAAAATTAAAATATATAATTTGATAAATATTTAGAAAAATTTTACAATTTTATAAGAACATATAATCAAGATGTATTAAGTTTCTGCCTAAAAATTTATAGGTTTTTGAAGAAATTGTCTTTCCATCATAGCACTGTTTATAACATAGAAACTTCAAGTCTTCATAAAAAATAACAGATTTCAAGCATCTACTTCTTGATATTATCTCTGTTAATTCATCGGCATTAATTGCATAAAAACTCTAATTATTGAACTTTTTACGTCTATAGAAGTCTACATGAAAAATAATCTACACAAATCCTTGTGTATTGTTTGGATAGATCTATCATGAGTTTGAAAACAAGTATGATCATTTCCATGTATCAAAGAATTGGATGTGACGATTTAAACTTGTCCAAGGAGTATGAAGTCTGTGCAGCCGATGTCGTGATTCTTAATTTAATTTAGCAGGCTTTGGTCATCTTTTCTCGCCGAAGAAACTATGGAGACCGATAGGAAGAATACCCTTAGCATAAAATCGAGAAATATCTTGTATTCTATAATTAATATATATATATATATACATATATACATATATTTCGTAAATTTGGAGAAGCATATTTCATGGTGTTTATAAGGGGTTTTGTTAGAACATGTGTTCGATTTTAGCACAACTTATGTGCGTGTGTGTATATATTTATTTTATATTAATTTTTTAATATATATCATCAAACCTTTAGACGATATACATGGATTGCATTGCAACATGTTCAAACAATTCTATTTGAGAGAAACATAGCTTTCATAGATGCTGCTTGTTTTGTACCTCATATCATTAACCATGTTTAGTACATGCAAGTTTCAAGAATGAGTTTTGTTTGCTGGATATATAACACAACTAATTGATCATATATTGCTCAAACTATGCACACATATACGTTTATACATTAGAGTAGAGTTTAGCCCATGTTATGGCTCGAGACGTTGGGTCGATTTGAGTTTGACGACGCGGTACACGTTGGGACCGCCATGCACGTTGGGACGTCGACGGGCTCGGGTTTTATAGGAGGCGAACTCGAAGAACAGTCAGTTCTTCAAGTTGAGCCTTTCACGTCGGGGTTGATCCCCATAGCTTCGACCTTTATTCTACTTGCGAGTCGTGGGTTTGGCTCGACTCTTGATGTATTTGTGTTTCGACATTTTTACTCGAAGAACTGGACTTTGTGGCATTTGACAATGATAATTCAGAAACATCGTAGCTGCGCGATTCACTGTACGAGAATTATTAACATCAGGGTGAAACTTCGACTGCCAATTCAAGTCCATGGTACCGAAGAGCTTTGATCAGGTCAGAGCAGTAAACAGAAGAAGCAGGTTGCGAATTTCACAGGTTCGATAATCTGCAGAGGATTCCAAGACAGAAAGCTTCTCGGACGACAAAGATCTACAGAAGGGAGTGATGTCCAGAAAGTGGGAAGGCACTCTACGCATGAGTCCGGCTGATCTGCGAAACATTTTGTATAAGAGCAGAAAATCGAATCTTTCTCTCATGGAATGAGTTTGATCATCCATGTAATAACAATTTACTTGCTTCAGTCACGAGCCGGTGAATCCAGACAAGGTACAAGTGAAAGTATTTGGAAGGAATAATCATTATTACAGGTATAGTCAATTGCCAGCAGCGTAGTCGGGATACTGCCTTGAGAGTTTTTCTTGCAAGCCCACATAAGTGCATTTCCACGAGATGTAAAAATGTGAGGTACATGATGCGGTTCGATCTAATTTTTGGGATTACTATTCTCTTGAGTACTCCGTCGCTTGTTCTTGCGAGCCGCAATCAGTGTACGTGTACACGGCTGATCAGTGTACGTGTACACTGATCAGCCGCAACGTGCTGTGAGAGGTCAGTGAATGCGTAGTATTAAAGTGAATCAGATGTTGTGGGGACCATGGACTAGATCTCAGAGCATATATATTTTTATATATATGTTTTGGGTAGCTTCTAAAAGCAGAAAAGAAGGTGGTAAGTAGAATTCAAGACTAAAAGTAAGTACCAACACAAGCTCAGAGCAGTTTAGTTCCAGCGAGAGTTGCAAAGTTTAGCATCAAACATCGAGACGGCTAGATACGAACTACTCTGCTACAGTTGTGAAATCTGTAGGTGTGCCACACATGCTTGTTGAAATTAAGGAACTAGTAGCATATCTTCCTTGAGCGTATAAATTTTGTTAGTAGCTTGGTACATAATGCATTTATGCTCCATCTAGCATGCTGGCTCTTTTTCTTAGTTGACTCCACACAGCGGTCACTTGTAGGTTCTTTTTCAATGTCAACTCGCCGTCGCGAAGACATGTATCTCGGAGCATATATGCTTGGTGGATGTAAAGTCTGATCTGTGAAGAAGAAGAAAGAAAGAAAGAAAGAAAGAAAGAAGAAAAAAAAAATAAAAAAAGTAAAAGTGAAGAAAATTATTCTGCAGAGATTGAGAATTTGCACTTAGTTTCATTCATTACGATTTTTCAATTATGAAAATAATGGTTTTATCATTATTACTTTTGTCTATGTGGAATAGTTAGGATAGATAGGTTTTTTTGTATTTGTTATATTCCTTGCCCCTAGTTACAGTGTGAAGTGGAGTTATGAGGTGAAGTACGGGGCAGCTCGGCGTGGATACACTCTTTGCGACGAGCTGGTGTTGCAGGCGCTGGAGACGGAAGGTGGTAGGGGGCGATGGAGTTCGACTCTGGGTCGCGATGCGAGGCGATGTCCTGTGTGTTGTGTTGTTCTGTGTTGTGTTTCATTTCGGCTTGAGAGTCGTTGCTAGCCGTTTTTCTTGTGTTTGGATCCTCTCCAGTCTGGCTTCCTGATGCGCGCCCATGTCTGGGTTGACGATGATTTCCGGATTAGTTTTACTCTAGTATGTTGTCGATAGTGCGGCTGGATTTGATCACCGGCGCCTATCTTTGTTTCTCTCATGGTGAGACTGGAGTGATGACCAGTAGACCATGAGAGTCTTCTTGCGGTGATGACAGGTTAGGTTGCCCATACCCATAGTCAGTAGGACTAGAGCAGGTTAGTGCAGGGACGAGGGCAGGTGGAGTTGTGGCAGTGGTGCCGGTTGGTGAGTTAGTCATCACGGAGGAGTTTGGTGGTTCCGTTGAGGACCGTGGAGGATTTACGCGGAGTGGGTTGAGGTATCGGCTACCTCATCCTAGCGCATCAGTGGTTGCAGAGGCGCGGGGTGTGGCAAATAGCAGATCTTAGGTGGTGATATCATCTAGGGTCCCACACTCGTGGACTGGGGACATGGACGGTATGTACGGGGCCATGAAGGGCTGTAACACTAGGGTTTAGAGAGAAGTTCACTCGAAGATAGAAACGTAAACTCTGAAGATGAGCGATACCAACAATGGTTCTCCTCTCCCTTATATAGCTCTCACCAACAAGTACAAGGTGATAAGATCTAATCCCCACCATACATTCCACTCCTAGTGGATGGATGACGTGGTGGATAACCCTAACAAGCACACGGATCGCTGACGTGGCACTGTCAACTAACACATCCACTCTGTACCTACCAAGTGCGCGGATCGCTAATGTGGCAGCTATGACTAGTGCACACTAAAGTATCTACATCCATATTCAGAGTAACC